CCCCCCCGACTGAAGGAGCAGAAGCATCTGGAGGAGGACCCTCCCTACTCTGGGAACAGCAGGGTTCATCTCCTGCAGATATTCCAGACGGCTCTGTTCATTCACTGACATTTCATCTAATTGGATTATTTCCATCAGCGCTCTGACCCCCCCCCTCGCTGAATGAGTCCAGTTTATAAGCTGGAGGTGATCCAGTTGATGTCACCTGCCAGACTGGGAGGTGGTAGTGCCGCTGAGGGAGGATGTCACACCAGGTGACCTGTTCCTCTGTGTTCTCAGGGCTCTGAGGAGGTGTGAGCAGATGATCCAGAGGTACAGCCGGCAGAGCAGCTCAGATGGAGCGCCGTTGGGGAAGGCGGTGGAGGACTGCATGAGGGCCATCATCGGAGTCCTGCTCAACCTGACGCACGATAACGGTGAGGCAGCAGGCCGCGGCAGCTTCCTGTCAGCGGCTCTGGCCTTTCTTCTCATGTGTGCTGTGGCTCTGCAGAGTGGGGCAGCACCAAGGCGGGCGAGCAGGACGCTCTGATAGAGACGGCGCTCAACTGCGTCCTCAAAGTCCCCCAGTTCCTTCTGCAGGAGCAGAGATTTGACATCAGAGTTCTGGTTGGTATGGCGTCTCTGAACAATCTGACAGGGTGGAGCTGCTGGGCTGATGCTGGAGCTTTGTCTGTGGATCATCCAGGGTCTGGGTCTGCTCATCAACCTGGTGGAGTACAGCGCCAGGAACAGGTACTTCCTGATGGAGATGGAGATGGAGGGGGGCCAGGGGCCTTGTGACTCCACCGTCCTGCTTGGCGAGCAGCATCAGGACCTGGGCGGCAGCGGCGGTCCTCTCAGCGCCATCGCTGCTCTGGTGCAGGTACGGTTCCCTCCTGAGACGGCTCAGATTAAACCTCAGCGAGGCGCTCTGATCCAACTCCTCCCGTCTCCTCAGCTCTTCCTGCAGCGTGAGCGAGCCGCCGTGCTGGCCGAGGCGCAGACCGATGACCTCATCAAAGAAGCCCCGAAGCCCGCGCTCGACCAGAGCGGGGAGTGGCAGGAGACCGGAGGAGAGATCCAGTGGGTCGCCAACGACAACGCCTCTGAGAAACAGGACGAAGGCAAGAAGAAGGACGAAGAGGAGGATGAGCCGCTGGATCTGAACAAAGGTAGATCAGAGGTTCGGATTCTATCGGCGAACCGAACGGAACCGAACTGACGAATGTCCCGTTTGTTCCATGTAGCTCTGCAGCACGCGGGGAAGCACATGGAGGACAGCATCGTGGCGTCCTACACCGCCCTGCTGCTGGGCTGCCTGTGCCAGGGGAGCCCGGTGAGTATCACGACCAGGAGGGCTGAAACCTCAAACATCTGCAGAAATCACCTGGTTTCCGTCTCCATGACGACCGTCTCTGTTTACCAGATGAATGTGACGACCGTCAGGGAAAACCTGCCGAAAGGAGATTTCTCCATCATGACAGAGATGCTGAAGAAGTTCCTGAACTTCATGAACCTCACAGTGAGTCACACCTTCTTTCTCTGGGGAGACCTTCCTCCTGCAGAGCCAGAGGTCAGGGGTCAGAGGTCAGAGGTCAGGCTGCTGTTAGCTGCTAGCATCACAGAGAGCCTCTGCTAACATTTCCTCAGCTACAACTTCACCTGAGTTCAAGTTTAGTCTCAGACCGTTCAGCTCCCTGCAGTGATGATGCAGCTGACTGATTCACTGACTGACTGATTCACTGACTGATTCACTGACTGATTCACTGACTGATTCACTGACTGATTCACTGACTGACTGATTCACTGACTGATTCACTGACTGACTGATTCACTGACTGACTGATTCATTCATTGATATTAAAGCGTAAATGATGAACCTCTGTTCTGTCCGCAGTGTGACGTCGGCACCGCGGGACAGAAGTCTATTTCCCGGATCATCGACTACCTGGAGCACTGCTAGAGCCTGCTGCACACACTGGGACAGGCTCCGCCTCCTCCAGTTATAGGCCCCTCCCACCGCTCCCCCTGAGCTCCCTCCACCTCTGCACCAGTTTGTTCCCCAGGATGTCTGTTCTCTGACTGGTTTCTGCCTGGGATGGAAGTTCTGTGAAGGTTCCAGTCTGACCTGAGTGTCTGCTGCCCCCTCCCCCCGCCCCCCCGGGTCCCCAAAGCTTCCAGAGATGACGCTCCTCCTCCTCCTCCTCCTCCTCCTCCGGGTTCTGTGGTGGAGATGCTGAGGAACCAGAGGTGCTGAAAGCACAGAAGCTGATCAGAACCAAAGACTGATTGGAGGAAACGTTCCTGTGGGCGGAGCTACTTTCCTCCGTCTGGAAAGCCAATCAGACCACAGGTCCTTCATCTACTTCCTGTCCTCATGCGCCTCCTCTTCTCCAGGCTGCAGCTCCTGCTCACCTTTGGCCCCAGATGACCAGAAAGATCTTTAGCTCCTAGAATATCTGCTCTCACTTTGACAAACCGTCATCTGGACGCCTGTCAATCAGGTCTAGCTATGAGCTGAGCTTCATCTAACAGGAAGTGACAGGAAGAACGCACCGTGACCCAAACGGCGCTCTAAACCTGAAGGAAACGAGAACCATTAACCTGCTTTATAGAAGAGAAGGTCTCTAGATGTGACTCTGGTTTCTCTAGCTCTAGGTATGAAGGAGGTTAAAGGAGCAACAGTGAAACGTTCACCTCCCAGCAACGCTGAACCTGATTGGCTCCTCAGATCCTGATTGTTCATGTTTGGAGGGGAGCTCAGCGGAGGAGGGGCCGACCAGCAGCAGAGCCTCCTGCTGCATCTGAGCGACTCGTTCTAGAAAACATTTTCTATTCTGTTGGACTTTGTTACATCAAAGGTTTTTTTTAATGTTTCTAAATCAGTTCAAAGCATCAAACACATTTCAGTCACACTCCTGTTCTCAGAAGTTTACAGAGCTTTATTCCTGGACGTCTGCAGAGTGAATGGAACAGCTTTCTGTACATAGATCCTGTACATAGATTCAATGGGGGTGGGGTGGGGTGGGGGGGTAAATTTAATTTTAGATGCTAGACTTTTCTGGATCGGACTCTATTTTTCTTTTTCTAAAGCTTTTTTCTCCCGGTTGTTTTGGACGGATGGACAGACAGCTTCTGCAGGAAACTTGATCTTTGTACCAATTTGCAGATTTGTGTTTTTGGTTACATGTAAATAATTTTAAGATAATAAAAATTGCTACTTTCAGTAACTAATGGAATGTTTTTATTCATTTCTGATGAGATTAAAATTTCCTCACCGAATGAACATAAAGAGCCGCTTTCAAACAGGAACCATTTATTTACAATCATCAAGCTGTGCGGGTCTGGGCCCCCGGGGGCCCTCAGTCCAGGTTATCTGCTCCTCTCTGCGCTCCGGGCCTCCCCGTCAGGTCCCGGCTCTGCGGCTCCGTCCTGCAGCAGCTCGCTCAGGGTGCTGATGTAGATCTGCGCCATCTGCAGCGTCTCAGACTTGGACAGTTTCTTCTGGCTCTGCAGGTTCGGGATGACGCTCCGCAGCCGGTCGAAGGCCACGTTCAGTCCCAGCATCCTCCTCCTCTCCCGGGCGTTGGCGGCCAGGCGCCGCCGCCGCTGCGCGCGCTCCAGGGCGCACCTGTCCGGCTGCAGGTGGCGCAGCGCGCTCCCGCCGGGGCCCAACCGAAGCTCCACGAGGGCGCGCGGAGCCTCGTAGAAGTCGTGGGCGTCTCTGGCGCGCGCAGCGTCGGGTTGCTCCTGCAGAAGGACGTGGATGTTCCCACTGAGGTCCGCGGGGGCCGCGGGGCCGAGTCCGGCTCCTGGGCTTCCTGGGTTCAAGGGCGCAAACAGGCCTTTCCTCATCGCTCCTCCTGCGGGTCAGAAGCAGGCGGCGCTGCGCTGGAAGTTCAGACCTCCCCGCACTGGGACGGGCATTTATGGGCCGGGGGGACGCGCCTTGCGTGGTCCGTGGGCGTGGAGAAGGTCGTGTGCTGCCTAATGAACGGAGCCAGAGTCACAGCAGGAGGTCCATCAACCAAGTTCATCAAAAAGGGATTAGAAGCGAGTCATCGCTTCGCTGAGGAGGAGAGATGCTGCAGGAGGAGACGGCAGGAGCTGCAGCAGGAACCGGCAGGAGGAACCGGCAGGAGCTGCAGGAGCAGAGCGGCTGCATCATCAGATGATTGATTCAATGGATTATTGGAATGTTAACATTTAGAAATAAACCTTTAGATCAATTAAAAAAACATAAATAGATTGTAAATAGAAAACTAGAGATAAAAGGACGTGGATAAAATGGTTGGATTTAATAAAGGAAAAAATTAAATGAAAATGAACAAATTCAATCTTTTCTTTTCAACAGAATGATTTAAAAATAAAAGCCTGATTTAGGAGCTGCTTTGTTGATTGGTTCCTGCTCCTGTCAGTCAGAGCTCTGCTCCTCCTCCAGGAGTCTCAGGCTGTTTCAGCTCCTTCCAGAGATGCTCAGTAGGATGGAGGTCAGGGGCCCCTAGGGGCCCCTTCAGTCCACCGTTTCCCTCTCAGCCATTCTCGGCTGTTTCTATCTCTGACCTTTGACCTGCTGCAGACCTAGCTTTCTGCAGCTGTTTCTCTACCATCCCTGATAGTCTAGAGAGTTCTTCGGACCCTGCAGATCCAGATGAAGCGAAGCAGCCCAGAGCATGACACAGCCTCCTCCATGCTCCACAGTCTTGATCTGGGATCATAGAGCAGATGATTGTTGGCATAAAGCTCCATGTTTGTCTCCTCTGTCTCCTTTGTTTCATGTTTGGTGTTTTTTATGATCCGTTTCCATCCATGGTTCCTCCTGGATGGTTTCCAGGTGAGCGATGCTGTGATCTGACTCTGATGTTCCTTCAGACTGAAGTTCACCTCTAATCTCTGTAGAAGTTTTTCTGGGCTCTTTTGTTCCTGCGTCTCTGATTGATCCTCAGTTTTCCTCCTGCAGACGCGTCCAGGGAGGCCTTCTTCAGTCCATAGATGTTCAGCTGCAGTCAGAGGAGCATTAAAGCTGCCTGGAGATGCTCTGATAGCCGTTAGCTTTAACATGCTGCTCTGTCATTTTCTCCTCCATGTAGAGTGTGGTACACACCATGTAGCTCTATATATAGATCCACTGACTGGTTACTAGATTGCTGTTAACTAGATGCTAATTAGTGGACACGCCCTGATTAACTCACATTATTCTCAGACTTTTCTAGAAGAACCATCATGTTGGTCCAGGTTTATTTCCTGAGTTTTTTTCTTCCTATTCTGTTGAAGCCTAATTAAAAATCATCTTTTGTTCATCGTTATAGAATTGGTATTTATTATTATTTTTGACAGATTCACGTTATTTCTGTGACCATTGTGGGTTTTCTTTCATTAAACGAGGGAGGCAAACTATCCTGTTCATGTGTGTATATCTATAGATGTTTACAGAAATACACTGCTCAAAAAATGAAAGGAACACATTGAAAACACATCAGATCTCAAAGGGGAAAAGAATCCTGCTGTTTGTTTATCCTGATATGGACTGGGTGATGTGTTGGGAACCAAAGGATGCCACATCGTTTGATGGAAGTGAAAATGATCAACCTACAGAGGGCTGAATTTAAAGACACCCCAATAATTACAGTGAAAAATTATGCAGCAGGCTATAGTCCATTTAGCTGAACTTTCACTGCAGCAACTCTAAATGGTATTCAGTCATTTGCATTTCCCCCACCAAACCGGTCATGCTGAGCGATGTTCCAGGCAGCAGAACGTTCTCCACGGCTTCTCCAGACCCTTTCACGTCTGTCACATGTGCTCAGGGTGAACCCGCCTCATGCTAACAGTAGTGACAGTGACCCTAGCCAAATGCTAAACTGGTGAAAAACAGTCAGAAAAGATGAGGAGGGGAAAAAATGTCAGCGGCCTCCACCTGTAAAACCATTCCTGTTTCGTTGTTGCTCCTCTAGTTCACCTGTTGTTCATTTCATTAACACCAAAGCAGCTGAGACTGATTAACACCCCCCTCTGCTACTGACCTGACCAATCAATATCCCACAAGTTTAATTAACTTGATGCTTTACTCTGATTACAAAGTGTTCTGTTAAGTTTTGTGTCTAGTCTATATATAAATATATATTCAGTTCAGCTTTCAGCACCATCATCCCACAGCATCTGATGGGCAAACTGGGACAGCTGGGCTTCAATACACCCCTCTGCTATTGGCTGCTAGACTTCCTCACCAACAGACCTCAGTCAGAACGCCTCTGATGTCATCGGTCTAAGCCCCTCCCCTCAGGGCTGCGTCCTGAGCCCCCTGCTGGCCGGACGGACGGATGAATGGATGGATGCAGGATGAATGGATGGATGACGGTTAAATGGATGGATGGATGGATCCATGTAGACCTGCTCCCAGGTTGCTGCAGACTGATGTTTTTTTAGACTCGTTATCTGACTGGAAACCAAACACCTTGGTCAGCTTTCCTAAACTCCTGTGCTCCTCTTTTCTCTTTCTCTCCACTTCCTGGTTTACGTCCTGAAAGGTTGGCGGTTCCTGTTTGAACCCGGATGAAGCTTGAAGCAGATGAACTTTGACCCCCGGATGAACTGGACTCCTGGAGGCGAGGAGATACCTGAAACTGCTGAAAATAATAAATACAGAGATTCTCTCCTAATTTATTTTAATCCCAACTGATCTGAATAGAAAGGATTGGATCCCAGTTAGAGGAGAGAAAAAGCTGCTTTGGTTTTAGTTTGTTAATCTCTGATTTCTGCTGTTTTTGAGGTAAATGGATCAAATGTGATCAAACTGCAAAAACAATCTAGAAATAAGTAAAAATATCTTTAATTAAGTGAATTTATACTTAATTTGAGCAGATCCAATTAATATCTTTACTCTTAAAATAAGATGAATAGATGTTTACACTTGAAAAAAGACAATGCAATAATTTTTTCTTAGTTTAAACGTAAATAGTTTTGTTCAGTTAGCAAAGTGTCTCACTTCCCTCCTTAATTAAAGACAAGATGCACTTATTAAAAAAAAAGGCTTATTTTGGCATCAGATTGATTTGGAAGAACGTTCTCCAACTGTCTATAGTTTAGTTTTAAGTTGCTTTGTTTGCGGTGGAGTTGGAACCGCAGCAGTTCCTCCTGAGGAAGTTGGGAGGCGTTTTGTTCCTGGGGTCTCTGCTGGTCGGACTCTTGCTGTGACACATTGAAGCTCATCAGAGTGGAAACCTGCATCTTGTTTTTAGAGTTAATTAAAAAGCTGCAGCTTCCTGCAGGGCCCGCCTCATGATGACTGACAGTAACTGGCTCTCTGGACGCACTAATGGGATTTAGCAGCGTGTCCTGAGCACGGCGTGCCAGAGCTCTGCTGGGACAAACCGGGCCTTTACAGACGCCGCAGTGTGGGGGCCGGCCGGGGACACACAGGGAGCACAATGTGGCCCTCGGGGCCGTATGGGCCCTCTCTGGTTCTCCTCCTTTTGTTCTGCTGATCTGGAGCACGTGGGGGGGTTTGGCTCCATGGCTCAGATGATGCTTCTTGGCACGCTCCACTTTATAACCCCCCCCCACACACACACACACACATGGCAGCCATGCAGGTTAAGCTTAAAACTTTACACAGACTCAACAATGAAGACTTTTTGATCAATATTATTTCTTTCATGGTTTACAGAATAATCTGATCATTAAATACAAACAATGAAAAGAACATAAACTTTAACACCTGCCCTGTCTGGAAAAGTATTTCTATTCGGTACAAACAAACCAAAAATACAACAAATCACCAAGAAAAGAAAGAAAATAAACATTAAAATAAAAATCATCCATTCCTTTCATCTTCTTTTAGCTTCTTTAAACATTTTCTTAGATAAAATAAAGAAATATAAATCCCTTTATTGTCCCATAAGGAAGAAAATCTCTCTCTGCATTTAACCCCTCCCCTTGGGAAGCAGAGGGCTGCCATGTTGCGGCGCCCGGGGAGCAGTGTGGGGTTAAGGGTCTTGCTCAGGGACCCAGAGTGTCAGTCTGTGGGGTTCGAACCGGGAACTGCAACCTTCTCAGAGCTGCTCTGACCTCTAGGTGCAAATTTCCAGGATTTCAGAAATCCAGAGATTAACATCAGAAGCTTTAATCCCCAAACAGGTTTAGGAAAATATGCTGGTGAAGATTCTCAGTCATCCAGGTCAGAATCATTCCCAAAAAAGTTCAAAAATCAATCCCCTGGACTTTGTTTCCAAGTTTGAAGACGTTTCTCTTCCATCATTTTTCATTTCAAAATGTCAGAAATAGCGTTTAGTTCCAGGTTTTATCCAGCAGGTAACTAATGAAAACCAGCAGGGTCCAAATAAAGAAAATGATCAACCGGTAAAGGTCTGCAGACATTTTTAATGAACTGTTACTTTAAACAGAATTTAACACTGGAATAAAATGAGGTTTTTATGCATCCTTGTTAAACAATTAATTTTTAAATAAAAAATGTATTAAAAGTAGAGAACAACAATCGTTCAGTTTGGTTTATAGATAATTTCCTGATTCCCATATTTTCTCAAACCCCTGAACTGATGGTTTGTTATTTTCTTTCTTTTTTCTGTCTTAATGTTGGCAGTGGGCTTTAGGCTGCCCTGCAAGGCTTTAAACCTGGGTTTAACCGGAGACTAAGCCATTCTCAAGCACATATCAAGGAGCTCATTCTGAGCCTGGATCCAGATTTATTGTTGATTCTGTTCATGGTGGAGAATCCTGCTTCACAGCAGCAGGTTGAGCCAAACATCCTCTAAATGTGCAGGGTCATCTTTGAGCACGCCATTTCACTTTTCTTTCACCAGTTCACCGCAGTTCTTCCAGCAGTCCACACTTTCTCT